AGACGCAGCCGAGCCTGAAGATGTCAAAGGGGAATGGAGAGCAGTAAACCAAGAGCGAATCTATCCTAAAGCCCCGCACGAAAATGGAGAGAAAGCCCAGAGGGATATGCAGAGAAGGGAAGTCCAGTGCAAGCACGAAAGGATCGTGATCACAAAGGTTAGCCTATGGCTGAAAGGGAAATGAACAACAACAAAGTAGCAAACCCCAAACCTCGCGAGAACCGAAACCGCTGAATGACAAATCTTGAATGGAGCTAGACCCCAAATTGAGAACCCCTTGCCCCACGTTCGAAACGCTTGCATCCTGGAAAGTGACGCAAAATTGAAGGCAGGGATGTGATGCACACCATCCATGCAGGTCCTTCAGTTTCAAGGCACCTTCCAGAGCGACTGGATAATGGATGCCCATTCCACTGAAGATCGCATTCGTGGCTAGACGAAAATACCTCAGCACGTGTCAATGTTGTCAAGATCGCACCGTACTGCTGCTGGATACTGATGACAGAACCCTTCTTTGAGCCGGGCTTGGAAACAACCCTAGTCTGGTCGGTCAGCGCTGACAACCTTTCGAAGGACTTGACTTGCCAGGGTGTCCCAGCATGTGCCACGCTCAGCCACTGGCCATCTTTCTATACTATCCGGCACAGAGTTCAAGGCAGCACAGTAGCTGTTCAGCCTCGCGTGGAACATCGACAGCGGGTTGTGTTTGTAGCAAACTCCGGGTTCCAAACTGGAAGAGCGAATGAACTGTCGCTGGATCTGAAGCACGAGGCCACCACATTGTCTCCGACAACACCCCTCGCTGCTTTCCCAAACGAAGTGCCATCAAAAGAAGGGCAACAACCTGGCACGACTGCTGAGAGTCAAGAAGAACGACAGGTTGGCCACGAGCCACGAACAAAGCGGGGATCTGAATTGCCTGGCATGTGAAAGCCTTGGTTGAGGCGACGCCAATCTCAGGCCCAGCATGCAGGTACATGCCAGCATCTGTCCTCAGCTGGCGGGTGCCACACGAAGTCATTGATTGCTCATGTAAGGCAATACAACTGCTCTGTTTGTTTGGGACTGGCGCTCACGGGCAATGCTGGAGCCGACAACATTGACAACTCCGATGGTGAGGGCCTTGGCAATGCAGCTTGCAAATCACAGCAAGGCATGAAGAGCACCTTTGGAACCTGCCGGCCTGATAATGCTTCGCCATCTTGATAGCCTAAATATCGCCGGCTTGTGCAACAGGTCTGCAACAATAGTGTGCATCAGGGCCTCCAGGGTGTCCGCCGTCTCACCACTTTGTGAGATGGCAATCAGACAGTCCGACTTGCCTGCGGTTGCAACACGCTGTAAGTGCTTGCCGAAAGCAGCCGCTGCGAAGCTGAGGAGCGAACAGATCAGTGGCTTGCGGTATCTGAACTCACTGGCCTCCATGCGGCAATGCACGGTCCCAGGCTTAGAGACATTGCAGTGCAGGGCAGACAAGACCTCAGACCATGAAACAAACTGTGCTCGTGCCACCCTGCACTGGCGCTTGGCTCGTTCAAGGAATTTCTCGTGAAGTTCGGATGTGTGGTGCTTCCATTAAGTTCCCTCTCTCAGCAACATAACAAGCCACAAGTCATTGAGAGTTCGACATACTCCACTTCGGCTGTCACTCCGGCCAGCTTCTCAAAAGCCTAGGTCTGATGGGAGCTCGTCGGAACAGAGATCTCTGACATTCTCGCAAGCTCGGCACGTACTTGGCAATCAGCGAAGAATGCCAGGAAGTTCCACAAGCGGCGAAGATAAGTCTGCTGGAGTTCGCCATCCTTTCCTGCAAGAAGGTTCCAAGGACGTCTGGCACTGTGCGATTTGGAGTCTGCAGGGCTGGGGAGGCTGCCAGCGGGCTGGTGCCATCGGAAGACATGCCCTCTTTTGCCTGGAATGGCGAATGGCTGCGGCAATGGTCACAGGACCATGTCTTGGTCAACGATCTGCCTTCTCCAGGCCCCCCAATTTGATTTCCCATTTCTCCGGCATGTCCTGGCTGCTGACAACGATCTGCCATTGCCTCTTGCGCAGCAAGCTTTAGAAACACGGGTCCACCGGCTGGTAAATCCGCCCGCGCAGAGCATTGCGCATGGCATTGGGCTGGTCCTCGGGCACCGTATATAGCTAAAACTTGGGAGATTTCTCAGCCAGGACCAGGCCCTGGCCATAATTTCTTTGAGCATGAAGTGTTTGAAACCACCCTTCTCGATTTGTTCCAGCCTGGTTGACACTGACATGCATTTTGCACTGCAGGCGCGCACTGGGCTTGCCACGACAGCTCAAGTCTCACAATCGGGTTCTCTCCCTGAAAGGTCACCGCTCACCAACACACCCTTACACCTGTGACAGAAGTCTCAGGCGTATGCATCCTTGCGAGGACTCCAAGAGTTTTTGCCCAAGCCAGAGACGATCTTTTGCAGCTCGGACACCTTCGCAACACGAGGGCAGGTGCTTTGAGGAGCAAAGCTCTGGCAGCGCAAGGAGGCCGCTGCTCTAGCTCAGCCCTTGCACCTTGAAGCCGGATCTCCTGATTTCCACAAGCTCACCCTCGCGCAAGTACACGACGTCCTTTAGCCGGAGCATCTGAAGAGACTAGCAGCCACTGGCACACCTTGCTCCAAGGCCAAGGCCTTAGTATGCTCGATAATCGCGGAAGCGTCACTGGCAAGCATGTGTTCTCCGTGCCCAACCTTGGCGGTACGAATGGATCCGACTCCAATTGAATGCAAGCTCTTTGCCATTATTGACGAACTACCGAGCCTTGCGACCCTCTTCCTTGTTTTAGCTGCACATCTCCAGGAAATATGCTGTCAGAAGCAGTGGCGTTCTTACGGGATTCACGCTTGTTTTGTCCACTTGACTCTTCTAGTGCATACCGGCAGAAGAGCTATTCTACTGACCATGAAGATGATTCCAGCTGAAGGCTGGGGATGTACAGACATGATCGCTCTGCATCCGAGTCCAGAACATGCAACGTGGTGGACGACAATGGTTGGACCCTGTTTTTCTGAGACTGAATATGGAGAAGAAACAGCCAGCAACGGGCCAAAAGTTGTAGCAAAGGAATGGTTCTGGTGTAGCGAGGTCCGAGGTCTTGGCAACATCTGCTAACGCTTCACGATGCAATCTGAACCTGCCAAAAACCTGTCCTGCAAGTACCAACAATGTATCGTTTTCTTGTCGCCACGGGCAGCGTGGCCGCCGTGCTGCCCCACAATTTTGAGCAATTTGGTTCGACTCGCACCATGGATCGTGACAGGCGCGGCGAGGAGGTCTCAAGTCTCGAGATCATGAAAAGGTCTTGAAGCAGTGAGGGGCAGAAAGAACCGCCTCCGCAGCTTGTCATGTCTATGTTTTGCTGGTCTAGGCCTCTCAAACAGGGAAACGAAAAGTTGTGGGCCAAGAGGGTCGGCAAGTTCTGGGGCAAATTCGGGCTCACCGACACAAGAGGTGTGCATGCAGGTAGTCGCCATGGGCGATTCTGATAATCTGATAAGTTCTGAGAAAGACACTCCAAGAATCAATGGCGAGCCCTTCCTTGCGCCGATGATCAAATCTGGCTCGTCCTCTCAAGCAGTGCTTGACAATTTGATCCAATTTGGCTCCGTGGGCAGGACTCGGTCGGCTACATGCGAAACAAAAACTAAGCATGTTTCTGTCTGACCTACGAAGGCAGGGATGCTGGGATTTAGCAAGTGCCGATTCACAGGGGATGTTCGGCTCCGGTCGGTCGGCTCGTGCTTGTCCGCTGTATCATGCTTACAGTACCTTTTTTGGGGGGCGGGTCTTGTGGGGAGGTGGATATATGCCAAGCAACCCATGCCTGCAGCTCCAATGTCCAAGCCCTAGAGTCATCCTAAGAAGATCTTTTCTCCGGCGATTGTTTGGAGTTTGTCCCATTGCATTGGTGAGACATGGGCCGTCTGCCCAGCTGAAGCACAGCAGTAGCACCTGGGGGCTGTTTCCCACTGCATGTACCATGCTGATCGGAGAATTGCAACCGCGCGCATGTTCGGCGACACACTGCACCAGCGTGATACACGGTTTCCTGTACAAACTCATCCGAAATGGAACATGCAGTAGCAGGCTTACTGAAGTCAATGCTTCTGCTGCAGACGAATGTCATAGTTCCTGACTGCAGTTACGATGTTTGTCAGTTTCTGTTGTACCAAGCTGACTTCTTGTTGTAGTTCCACACATCGGGGCCTTCCTTTGAACTTGATGGTTTTCGTGTAAGAGATGTGATAAAGCTTGGCCATGGCGTGCAGTGCTTCCATCTCCGCAGTGCTATCACCTAAAGCAACCAAGTTTGCAATCGTTTGAGAGTTCTCTTTCACCTGGCAGAAGGCTTCCACTTTCCACTGCGTTGGATCATCTGGGAATTTGTCCTCGAACCTCGCCCTTGCGGATACAATCTCGACGTCCTTCAGGTGTTTCGCCAGCGTGGGCAAATACTTCTCTGCGCTGTGCTGCACCCATCCTTCAATCGCGTTGGTGATGATGATCACGGTCCCCAGCGTCTTTGCCAGCTCCAGCAGTTTCACGGCTTCTGCTTCCAGGGCCAAGAGGTCTTTGGCAACAGGTGGCCGAGTCGACTGTATGGCAGAAGTACAGAGGAGTGTGTCGTCCCAGTCGAAGATGATGAGGGTGCAATGTTGCTTCGGCCTGTCTTCCCTTGACTGGTATACAGCATCGCGCGGCACAGCATCTTGCGGTGCCATGCGGCCAGCTATGCCCAGCCTAAAAAGGTATTTGGCCTTTGTTGCCCTCTCACCCTCTGATTCTGGTTGCGAAGTAGCTTCACCAGTACCAGAATCCCCAGAATCTGAAATTCGTGGCGTGTCACCATCCTCAAAATTTGAGGCCGTGGGTGACCCTGTTTCCACCGTGAACTCCGGCAACGGCATTGGTAACACCGGCGGTCGGCGGGTGAGGCAACTGAGGGCTTGGTCCGAAAATACATGAACACTCGGACACAAGCAGACCGGAAGCCGAAGTTAGCACAAGACGCTGCCTTCTCCGGGGTCCTCGAAGATGAAGGCCACGCCATAAGCTCCCTCACAGAGCCGGAGAGCCGTAGCGACGACCTAACAACTGTGGCCCAGCTCACACACGCAGCCCCACGGAAACCCTGAGGCATCGAGAAAATCTGCATGGGTGCAGCGTTCGAATGCCATCAAAACCAACAAGCTGCACCTCCGTGTACGTTGCCCCCTCCATCTGCTTCTTTAGGTCCTGCAGCAAGCAGTCTCGTAGGTTGGGCCAGCGCACAGCCTTCATGTCCTGCACAAGGTGAGCCAGCAACTCGGTGTCCGTTTGACTCACGAACTTGTAGCCTTTGCTGGAGAGCCTTAGACCGAGAAAGCACCGACAAGCGAATACAGGTTGGCCTGCTTGCATAGCTGTGGAGGTAGCTGCTCTTTCAGCGCGGCATAGTTCTCGATGACACCGTTGTGCACCACGGCAATGCCTGATACAGAGTCAAGTCTTCAATGCCCACAACGCTTTTCTCCGTGATGGGATCCAAGCTCGACTCTGCGGTCGTTTGGGGGTGCGCGTTGCAATCCGTAGGCTTGCCGTGAGTTGCCCATCTGGTGTGCCTAGGTGGAAGTTACGCTGCAGTCCGCGACACAGAACGTGATCCACTGGGAGCCCCACGCAATGCCCAGCGTTCCAGAAACCTGGGTGCCGGCATGTGCAACATCCTCCTCCAAGTTGGACACCTTGTCGGTTTCTCATGATGATCCTTGATACTGCGTCCGAGCCGGTGGGAAACTGATGGCAGCGTCAGGCCTTCCCAGCTTTCTTACGGACCTTCAGCGGCACGCCATGGATGCCGATGCCGGCGGAGTCATACCCACGATATCTTGGCCAGAGCTGACTACAGCTCGTCGCACTCTCTGAATGCTCGTGAGACTCCTAGGTGCTGCACTCCAGGCGCTTCAGCGCAGTTATCAACAGCGAAGCTGCCTGGTCCGAGTTACGAACTAACTGCTGCCACACTGTACGGTTGAAAAATGTGGTGAGTTCGAGCTGTAAGAGATACAAACCAGTAACCCACCGTCATCAACGACGTTTCATTTGTGTGTCTCGATGCAGCATGTGCCCGTTGCATAACGTTCAATGCAAGAGATGTTCACAGCCATGGCCTTTGATGTGTCGGCTTCGCATGACAAACTCTCACAGCCTGACACACCCTCTAGCTGCCCTGTTGAAGTAGCCACACTCGAAGCGAGCAAATCACTTGCACTGCCCGTGCCTCCCTGTTCCCAATATAGGCAAAGATTCCACACATAGAAACTCCTGTGACAAGAGTCTGGCCCCGTCTCGCGACTTCGACAATACACGAACTTGCCAGGCCTCGACGGGCTTGCAGAAGTCTCGAAACTTGAATTCGCTCGAGCCCCAATAGTGTCAGTACGCAAAACAACTTCCCCACCGGTAGAATTTCAACGGTCCGCCAGAAGACAGATGCGCAGGACGTTTAGCAGTAGTCTAGCTGCTGTACTTATGCACACACCTCCAAAGGTCTTGAGAAAAGCAAACACTCCAAGGGCTCTTCATTTCGTTCATGATATTCACCTATTGTTACGACCATCCAACACTTGCCGTAAAGCATTGCACCCTCTAACTACCGTCGAAGCATGCTCAACGAGGCTTCAGTCGGAAATAGTGCCTAAAGCCAATGATCAGCAATTGCTGTTTTCTCGGGCATGTATTGGAACTGTTCCATGCAAGCTACAGAGCACTCGTCACAACATCGGAGTCATGGAATGACCTACACCGTGATTTCTATCATAACTGCGAATGTCGAAATGAAAACGGCAACATGTTACCTGGAAGGCCGCATACTGGCGGACTGTCATGAACTAAACGTGAGACAACCAGGTGAAACCCATGCTATAAAAGTTGGAGAGAAGCATCACTTCAGCGAATGCCTTCTCTGGCTGTCTTGCCAGTCTCATTAGCGATTGTATCATCTGCACCCTGACGAACCATCGCACTGACACCGCAAGTTCGCTCGACGACGGCCGACAGCAAAGCAACGGTCCTACAGCGAGCCTTTTCAATGAAATACTCCGCAATATCCGCATATCCATATGCGAAAAGAAAGTGCAGGCCAGTATTGCCTGGAATGTCCAAGGACTAGATCTTGATACGCAAGGTCGTACATTGTACGTCACTACACACAAGGTCTGCGTTGAGCTCATCACCCTTGGCATTTTGTGCGTCCATGTCGCCACCGTACTTGATGGCCTCAGTTGCATCTGGGCTTAGACGAGCGTTTCAGCACTTGCCCGAGCCTCTGGCAAGCTTGCATATCCTTTTGTTACCGTTCTGACAGGCGACATGGAAGAGTCGATTGCCTCACGGAAGCTTGGGCTATGCGACAACTCCACACAAAGCCACTCCATGCTGAGCAAGCCACCGAAGGAGTCTGCATAGTCGGGGTTGAAGCCGGCCAACAGGGCCGCTTCCACCTCCTTATGCCTGCATGTTGCTTCAGGCCATAGATTAGGCATGCAAATGCATGGGACTGTGTGTCGAATCAACTGGCCCGTCTTTCTCTGTCTGTCCGAACTCGCCAACATGAATCGGTGCGCTCGTTCTCTGGCACCTTTGGCGTGCACTTGACCATGTCATAGACCACTTCTTCCGGGATAAGTCCCTAGCTGCTAGCTCACAGAAGGCACAAGAAGCATATGCTCATTTACATTGCTGCTGACAAATAGGTATCTCGCAGCCTCCCGCATAGCAAAGCATTCTTTTAGAAAAAGCTTTACACACATGTCGTGTGAAGTCTTTCTACGTCTCTTTCAATGAACCGAGAGCGCACAGGAAACAAGGAAAGAAAGACAAACATACAAAGCACTGTACATGTAGCTGCAAAGTTTCAACCAATGAAGGACAAACATACAAAGGAGTACGAGTACGCGCTGGTACTACCCCCCTTTTGTGTTGTTACTGCCCCGCTTTTGCGCTGTTACTGCCCCGTACACGCTGTTAATGAGAAGGCTTAGAGACCATCACTCTGTTCTCGCTCTCCTGCCGGGGCATCCCGTCTGTCAGTCTCCCTTCCACACTTTGGCCGGTGATTTCTGCTACATCGAGGATGTGCCGCTCGAATGAGAGAGCAAGGAGTATGCATAACATAATTCTGACGGTCCCAGTGTCGCCTGTTCTCCACCGTTTCTTTTCTACTGCATGTTCTGGCAAGCTCACCTGCACTGAGTCTTCGCGCATGTTAGGCGTTCGGGCCACTTACTCACTCTGCCACGACAGGCATTCGGAGCCTGCCGCCGATCCGATCTGATCACAGCTTCTCGAGGCCCGGCCTCCCGTGTCTGGCTGCACTGTACACCTGCGCAGCTCGCATACGAGTGTTGAGTCCTGCCGTAGTCCTGCAGTATCTATGCCTGTGCAGAAGAGGTGGCGTTCATTGAAGTTCCATGCATACCCTGCAAGAGCCTGTCGAGGATCCAAAGACACCTCTTCCTCGACCTGCTCTCTCACCGCACCTGTCGCTTGCAGCGGTTTGCAACTTTAGGTGCTCATCACCAGGGCGCCTGGTGGCGGTGGCGGGCTCCTACCGGGCTCAGCAGACGGCGCAAACCTCCGCCAAGCGCAAAACGCAGGTTGAGAGTCCGTATGCCACGTGGAAGCCAGGGCCAAGACGCATCGAATGCTGCCGCCATAACAGCTTTCTGCTTGCGTCTGTCAGCCTGGGCCACAGGTTGTGCCCTCTGCCAACAAGCAACACAAAGATGTCGCCTCTCGGCGTTGGAGTGGCTGGCTGTGGGTGAGACCTGAATGCGACAGAATGTCCGTTTAGCAATCGGTGTGAGACAGCGAGAGCGAGAGAGAGAGAGAGAGAGAGAGAGAGAGACAGCGAGAGAGAGAGAGAGAGAGAGACAGAGAGAGCGAGCCGTTCAGGGACACCGGGCCATGCTCGTATAAGCTTCCGAGCTCAGCTATACGAGCTGAGCCCACCTCAGGGTCGCTTGTCTCTCCACCTTTATTCTGTCACTTCGAAAGCTGGCACTGGGCGCAACACAGACGAACTGGCATCATAGAAGGATGCAAAGTCAGAAGACCTTGCGGATGGCTCCGGCGTATAGAAGGTGGATGTCCTCGAGGTGAACGCTATCCTTCACTCGCTAATCTTTGACCGCATCTGACTCATGTGCGGCTTCTTCCTGGCACTGAGATCTGGGAACGGACCAGACGGATAGGCCCCGCATACAGCGGCCTGCAGAGCGAGAGCAAAACTGACCAGACCTGCTGGAAGAGAAAGAAAAGAACTGATGCGCTTCTGCCAGCATGCCTTCTTGTTCGGATGCGTTGCAAATTGAGCGACCGAGCAACCACTGTCAGCTTCGAAAGACACACAACACACTTTGACAAGCGGACCTCGGCAGGAGTGGGCGTATACACCCGGCCCGAGCCAATGCTCCTGTGCGCCATCCGTCTCAGATGCTTCCGCACATTGCGTTTTCCAGATCTCGTGCAAAGCCTCATGTCTTGGGGGACACTTGCTCCAAGAAATGGCAAAACGCTGACCCTCCTCTCCCACGTCCCAGTTCACTACCCCACATCATAATCCTGTATTCTCAAGCAGACCTGGCTCGTGTGACCTCTCGAGCGCCATGCATCAACCAACGCGCATATGAGCCCGTGTGGGACGGACATTAGAAAAGCGTCGCTGGACCACATGGGCCCTTCCACAGCCGATGAAGCTGCATGCATCATGACCCAATCTCCGAGAGCCCCTGTGGTCAAGCTAGGTGCATGGCCTGAGGTTCATGTTTGGGCTACCACTACAGTACGGACTGGCGGACGTCGTGAACAACTCTTGAGTTTGCTACCCTTTGCCCATTAACAACCCCAAGATGCGTGGCACGCACAGTTCTTCAAAAGGTTTTCAGACAAGCCCCGAACCTAAACCTAAAAGGGCAGGCTGCACGGCAAACCGTACGGTGTTGAAACGGAGGTAAAAAACCGAATCGCCGGTACAGCAAGCACGAAACACGGTTTGAATCAGGAAAAGGTCTGCAAAAAGCCAGGCTTAGGAAGAAATACAGTCTTTACACATTTTCAGCCACAGTCGGTGTGTGCTCGCCCATTGAATCGGAGGTCGATAAAGGCAGCATTCTTTGCACAATGATGAATATGCACCTAACACGAGACCTCAACCCACCAAACCTGCAAGCCCACCAGAGCGGCTGCTTCATGCACGGCGGACGTGTGCAAGGAACAAAAGGCAGACTCGCCCACGTTCGTACTGGCCCGCACACTGGCCGGTGATTTCATGCACCCAGGATTCGTGGATTCGAGCTTTGGCAGACTGGCGACATTCGCACACCCGGAATTGAGCATGTATGCAACAAATTCGCGCGCCGAAACATCGCACACCGGGCGTTCAAATGGACACGAACAAAGCCGAAACCCTAAACCCAAACAATCTTGAAGCTAAAACTCTTTCAAACATCTAAGATGAAACGCTGACAACCCTGAATCCAAAAATTCTATCAAGCTGTACTACTACTACTACTACTACTACTACTACTACTACTACTACTACTACTACTACTACTACTACTACTACTACTACTATTACTATTACTGCTACGCCTCCTACTACTACTACTACTGCTACTACTACTACTACTACTACTACTACTTCTACTACTACTACTACTACTACTACTACTACTACTACTACTACTACTACTAATGGTCTCGGCTGGAGCTTAGCTTGCAGGTAGCTCCTTTTTCACAACATGGGGAGGATCGCAATTCTGACTCTGGTGATAGTGCGAATCATGCAAGCTGGAATTACGGATGATCACAGCCAGCCGTGCAGGTCCCAAGTCCTGCAGCAGTCTCCAGAACCATGGAATAATGCAAACATTAAGGCGACTGCAGACCCGAGGGTTGGGCACGCGTCCAAGGCGTGTCCGGGAGTCCGCAAGCGGACAAAACTTCTTGGTGAGGATTCTACACCGAGTGCACTCACAAGAGCGAGAAAGCGTGCATACGGCAGAGCATGCCGAAGAGCACAAGAGAATGGAGGCACTATTTTTCGTGGCAAATGGTGGACCTGCCACCAGCTGATGGGACGACAAAGAAGCAGCGTGCCGGCCAGCGGGTCTTCGGAGGGCGGAGCTATAACTGCGCGGAACGGACACGGATTCGAGCAGAAGACCCAACGCCGTCTCCGTGTTGCCACATACAACATTGGTGGAGTCACTGCTGAACTGTACGACACTCTGTGCCACTGGCTCAAAACTCAGAAAACCGCGGATCTCATCTTTCTGCAGGAGGTTCACTGGGGCCTGGGTAAGCAGGAGGGCACGTGGTCAATCCCTGGCTGGTCGTTTGTTGTCTCCCCGGACGAGGCACATCGATACAGCGGGGTGGCTGTCCTCGTCTCCCACACAGCTGCCTTGCCTGAACAAGTAACTTTTTGTGCTTGGGCCCATGGCAGGATTCTCCAAGTCAGGCTTGAACTTGATGATGTTTGTGTTGATCTTTTCAGTGTCTACCAGTGGGTTCGTAGTGACAAACATGCTAACAGAGATGCATTACGCGCGCATGTCTGGACAGTGCTTGGTCGTGCAGTTGCAAGTGTGCCGGCGAGGAATCTCCGAATAGTTGCCGGGGATTTCAATTCGAGCTTGGGACCGTACCGGCAACTGGTTGGCCGAGGGGTTCTTGCGACCAGTGCCAGTAGTGATACGGAGATGATTGCTTTTCTTGAAGCGAATCGGTTGTGTGCCCTTAACAGCTGGGGCCGCTCCCGTTCTGCCTATAGTGCCACTTATCATAATGGAGAGCAAAGATCACAACTGGACTTCGTACTAACCAGGCTGCCAGCTGTTGACCCGTGTGCCAGAAAGGCTAAGCCCATAGCTCTGGACCTTGCACCTTGGCGACATGGCTCCAAGCACAAGCCTGTGATCGCTAGTGTACCCTGGGCTGCAGGATGGTGGCTTAGCAGACACAAACCCAAGCAGACCAGGTATGACAAACCATCCCTACAACAGGCCCTCAAAGCCCAAACGCCCGAGGCACAAGCTTTCGTGCCTGAGGTCCGACAAACGGTGGAGGATGCTACAGGCCATAAGTCCCTTACTGTACTTAACCACGAACTCCAGACTCTGTGTAGCCGGCATTTCTCCTCTAGACCCAGGCACAAAACTAGGCCAGGAGAAACACCGGAGGTGGTTGCTAGCATCCGCACCATGTGGCAAGCACACCGTGCTATGCGCTCAGTACGCCGCGCTGGACCTAGGAATAGGCTAGGTCGCATCTTTGGGGCTTGGAGACTCTACAGGGGTTTTCACAAGTCCTGGCGTGCGCTCCGTACGAGCAGTCGCACTGCCCGCAGACGCTGGTTAGAAGACAAAATCCAGGAAGCCCATCAAGCTGCCGAGCGAGGCGACCATCAAGCTGTGTATGCTGTTGTTCAGTCTATTGCCCCCAAAAGACGTCACGAACCCGTAAGAATTCGAGGACCCCAGGGACAACTTCTCACCAGCGCACAGCAGATGCAGGCAGTGAGCACGTACTTCGAAACTGCATTCGCAGATCTGCCAATGCCACTACGTCCCAACAAATGCTGACCCCGGGTTTAGTCTCCAGGAGGTTGAAGAAGTTATCAAATCCCTTAGGACTCGTAAGGCGGTTCCAGTAGGTTGTGTAGTCGCAGAGGTGTGGCAGACCTGCCCAACGGCTTTCGCTGCATTTTTTCTCCAGGAGTTCCAAGAACACTGCCGGCGACAGGCTCTACCGAGCAGCATGACCGACTGCGGTTTAGCACTCATCCCTAAACCCAACAAACCCCAGCGACAGCCCAGCGACCTTAGGCCCCTAGGATTGCAGTGTCCTTCCAGTAAGGTTTTAGCCTCCCTGCTTAAAGGCCGACTGGCTGAAATAGTCACCCCCTGGCTACAGCAGAAACCGCAGTTTGCCTATATAGCTGGTAGGTCATTGGACGAAGCGCTGTGTCGGGTATTCAGTTGCAATGACAGAATCCGCACTCAGCTTAAAGCAGGCGTGCGCACGGTGCACGACAGTCGTGCGGGCCGAATTCCCACACAATGCAATGGCGGAGCAGCCTTGTCCATTGATCTCAGCCGCGCGTTTGATGTTGTGCCGCGCTGGGCGCTTACTGCATCGCTACGCAGCGCCCGAGTGCCCGAAACCCTTATCAATCTGATCCTTGATATCCATATGCAATGCAAGTACCACATCAGTTTAGGTTCACAGCAAGCCACCTTTCCGATGCAGCGTGGAATAAGACAGGGGTGTACCCTGTCACCCCTGATTTTTGCTGTTTTCACGGGGTGGTTGTACGATCAGCTGTGTGAACGGGTTGGTAAGGAATGGGCAGATGAATTCGTGACGCTGTATGCTGATGATTTCTTGCTGCAGTGGCTGCTGACCACCACGAGTGATCTTGACTTCCTAGGACGCTGCGTGAGGGCAATTTTCTCTCTGCTGGTGGATGCGGGAATGACGGTGAATGCAGCTAAATCCAAGTTGTTGTTCAAGGCCCAAGGATCCCAGGCTAAGAAGTGGCTTAAGATGCACCTTGTCAAACGTCCCGATGGCCCTGCTATAGACCTTGGTACCCCAGCTGCCCGACTCATCATTCCCAAAGTCCATCGCTTCACGTACCTAGGAGTTGAAGCCTGGTTTGGCAATTTTGAGATGCAGACCTGCCACAGCCGCCTCCGAGCTAGCGCCAAAGTCAGGCACCGCATTCTCAAAGTGTTGCATAGCTCCAACCTCCGTCTGCGGCACCGCACTATGCTCTACCAAGCCTGTGTACGTAGCTCCATGTTGTTCGGGCAACATGCTGTTGGTGTCACGCATGCTGTGCTACGTAAGCTTGAGTCCTCTGATGCCAGAAATCTCAGGGCGCTAGCAAAGAGTCCAGCACATCTGTGGCACGAGCCCACAGCTGATCTCCGTGCCAGACTGCATCTGCGCTCAGTCACCGAAGTGCTGGATAGGTTACTTTTAGGCCGCTGCCGTAAGTGCACATATGCTGCTAGCATAACCTGGTTTACCAAACAACAGACCGTGCTTCGGACTGACCAATGCCTGACACAGCCGCAGGCCCTGCAAGTGATCGACCCGTCCAAACAGGTGGCATGTGAAATTTGTGGACAGTATTTCGCTACCAAGAAGCAGGTCAAACAGCACTGTACCCGCAAACATGGTGTTGTTACTGTTGCCTCACAGGCCGTTCATGCACATTGGCGCAGCCACATGATAGACGGAATGCCACAATGTAAGCACTGTCGACGTAGCTTCACACGCATGGAAGGTTTTCGCAAGCACATTAAAAGTGGCTGTCCGGCAATGAGCGGACGGGATTCTGTGCAAAACACACTCTGCGCTGGTGAGGTGCCAGAGGGGGGAGCGGGGCCGCTTGGGCATTCGTGCCGGGCCTCGCCTACACACGATGTAGTGGAATCAGATGTGCCGCTAATTCAAGATGCTGCTTTTAAACACCAGCTCAGTAGAGGCTGGAAACAGGTCCTGCGCACGCCGCGATTCTGCAAGAGCCTGCGTACACATTGCGTCATTTGCCACCAGTGGGTATCCATGACAGGTCCGGGTTGCAAGCAGCACATCAGACTTTCCCACGCCAATGCATGGGCTCATAAGGCTGCAGCTGCGGATCGCTGCACGGGTTTTGGACTTCCGATGGTCTCTCCTTGTGCCTTCTGCGACCTCCCCGTTAAGGACGCCCGTGCACACATTCCAAGATGCAGTGCGTTGTTTCAGGCTTCGCTTGCTGAAATCCTTGCGCGGAAGGACCTCCCTCGACATGACGGACATGGACCTGGACCACGCCCGCGAAGCCCAGAGCCAGCTTCGGGAAGTCTTGGGAGAGGTCAGGGGCCTACCGACGGAGGCAGAGACGAGAAGGATGCGGAGGAGCCGAAGCCGAAGTTCCAGCGCCCCTCCCACAAAGGCTACCAGGGGAAGGGCTGGCAGGACAAGGAGACGGGACAGACGGGACAGCCGAGCCAGGGCCAGTCTCAGAAGTGGTGGAACCAGCCGAAGTGGAACTCCAAGGACATGGTCACGGCCACCGCGGAGCCGGAGGAGGCGACGCAGCAGTTGCTGCGAAAGCTGGTGAAAGTGGTGAGCCGCCACGAAGAGGAAATGTCACGCATCCGCGTGGACACCAGCTTCATGCTGTTCGTGGACTCTCAGCAGGAAGGCATCATTGGCCTGCTGAAAGCCACGGCGGACCGGTGGCAGGACTGCTGCCTGGCGCAATGCTTGCCAATCCTAGTAATGTTTGCTATCTCAATGCTTTTGCGCAAGCCTTGGCATGGCTGGGTACGGTCCACGGCAGGCCTGATGCCTGCTACGGCAGTGGACGGGCAGCACTGCAAATGGTCAATACCTCGGGTAGGACGTCCCTGATTGAAAGTCTCCACTGGCGATCGTATCTGCGTGCTTGGCCTAGCCTGCACAGGCAACAGGACGCAAGCGTGTTTCTGCAACACTTCATGCAGATTGCTCAGCCCAGTGCTTTTGTGGGACAGTGGCAGGCTAGACTCAGTCTGCCGCATGTGGTCGTGGACTCAGGTCCACTGATGCTGCCCATCCTCCTGGATGTGTCGGCTGGCTCACTGCAGGCCGTAGTCGATAAGTGGGCACTGCAACATACACGACATGCCCTTTACCCGGCCTCCACTGCAATATGGCTGCAACTTAAGCGTTACTCCTATGGTAGAGTGGCCCATAAAAACCTAGCCTCTGTCTTGTGCAGGCCTGGCGAGCTGATCAGCCTTCCGATTTTCACCGGGGGCGAAGGGTTGGAGGTCCACCACAAGCCATACCGAGTAGTAAGTTGCATTTTCCATACTGGAGCGCATGTAGATCATGGACACTATCAGGCTGCACTCGGAGTCTGTGATGCTGATGCCTATGGTGTGTCCTCCAGGGTTTCTGATTGTACGGCAGAATGGTCGTACCGAATTTGCGATGATAAGCGCAAACCGAGACTGGCGCGGCCAAGGGACAAAGCCCACATTGACAAGAACTGCTACTTGATTGGGCTCGTTACTGATACCGGGCAGTAGCACGAGGGCCGCTTTCGGGCATACGTGCCGGGCCCTCGTATGTCTCCTTGGCTGCCAGCTGCAAGGCCCAAGCCGTTTCCCTGCCGATGCGCTAGGGACGCAACCAGTGCTCTACGGGGTTCACAAAACACCTCGCATTGCCTCTCGCTCAGTTAACGCTTCTTGCACGACTGCTCGTGCCACAGTGCTTTCACTCCACATCCTGTATAATACAGTTTTGGTCCAAGCCTAATCAGCCGTGGGATCTATTGTGCATTCCGCCACGAAGCAGGAGCCTCAGTTTGTGCGACACTCTTTGCACTCCAACTGGCTGTGTCGCTTGCCACAGTGTAGACTGCAGACGTCAGCTCAAACTCAAACCGACAAAGCTGATAGGACACATGGAATCCACATGTGAGGAATTGGAACTGCCACCGCATGTGTACTATGATCAGCTGGAGGAGGCCCTACTGCTAACTGCACTACGCAACATTGCCAGCGGCTGTGAAGTGTCGGTGCCACCCAGCCTTTCCCTTGCGGCGGTAAATGATATACTTGATATGGCAAAACACATCCTGCCGACACCTGCATACCAGCAATTGGTGGACTACTCGGAAATGCTTGGGGAGCATGTTGCGGGACGAATCTCTGCTGCTTTCCCGCACCCTCTGACAGAAGGTGCAGCATCCGATGCCGAGGCCGAGAAGGTTGCATTTCATTATTTGCGTATGGGCACAGGTTCGCTATGGAATGCTGTCAGACATGTCATTTCGTTGCTGCCGTTTGAAATGGTACAGCGACGTCACCAGCGAGAGGGACAGAGACAGTTCGCTTGCGGGGCGTACGGGCATCGCTCCTCTGTGGGACTGTATAGACATACGGTACCCTATCAGTCGGCGATCCTTCTGATAAACACGTCGCTGTGCTCCATCTGCCCGTCGCACACATGGTCCACCGTGGTTATTACCCTGGGCAACGTGGCAGAACTGCATGTAGACAGGCAAAACGCGCCGCAACGGGCGCTGGTGCTTGGGATCTCACACTTTGAGGGAGGACGCCTTTGGCTACAGAACCTGGGAGCTATGTTCCAGTCCCAATCCGGAGCTGGGCCAATGCAAACAGCAGCCACCGGCACTTTCTACGACCTGAGTGCTAGAGCTTACCTCGTACCAACCCACTGTCGTCTACATGCAACCGAACCCGGCTTCCTCGGCAATCGGTTTGTGGTCATCGCCTACCTAGTGGGACAGCATGCCAGCCTGTCGCAGGTGCATATGACGGCACTGTCGGATATGGGCTTCTGCTTGCCGACCTACAGGAATGCCGGACCAGATGTCGGGATAGCTGCCGATGCCACCCTGGAGATCGAGGTAGTGGATTAA